ATATTCTTGGTGCCTGGCAGAAAGCAAGGCAGTTTTCTGCTAATGTCTTTCTTCTGTGAGGCCAGAATACATATGTATTTTGGGGGGAAAAAATTGGAGGAATAGCTCAACATCCAGATGCTCCGTTCTGAAAACAGAGTATTATAAATGAGAAAGCTGGCTGTGGGTCACTAATTGTATCAACACAGCATCTGAGAGACTGAAATAAAGCAGCAGCTATGCAGTGTTTATACAACTATCAGTACCCAGAGGGCATTTGCAGACCCCATACTCTGAGATTTGGAGAACGCTTGAAGGCTTGGGCTGTGATTTGCATTCAAGACACTCTTCTCTGCGTGCTTTGTAAGCAAGAGCTCTGCTATGCTTTTTCCAGTTTTGGAAAATTCAGACTGCATGAGAGTGGATTATGTTTACATTATAGTCAAGCTGGAATGAATCCAATATGATTTAATTTAAATGTCTTTGTTTGGGGTATAACTTTGAATTATTTTTCAAATAGAATGATCTTTCTTTCTTTTAAAACGCATGAAATGTTTTTTGCCCCCTTCTTGTTTAAATGTAGATAACTTTATAATTGACTTTAAGCTGGGAAACTTTCCAACAGAGTATAATTATTCTTTTCTTTTCTGCAATGTTTTTTTATTAGTGCTATGAAGCTGGGCTAATGTCACAATACATAAAAACCTGGAAAAAAGGAGACATGATCTTTTGGCGTGGGCCATTTGGAGGGTTCCCATACCAACCTAATAAGGTTAGTTCCCTAACAGACATAGGCAGCTTGCAGCAGTTGGCTTATTCCAAAGGAAAGACATCGAGTGATTACTGTTTTCATGGTTACTTTAGGGACTTCCCAGGTTGTTGCACAGTAGTACAGTTGGAAAAAAATACACACCTTGTTGGACTGCAGAATATTTAAGAAATAAGAGGAGAAGGAGGTGGGCACTAGAAAATATTAGCAAGGATCTTTGGGCCTCACTTGCATTAGAAGTTCTTGCTGTGTTAAACTACAGGAGCTTATTTTGCTCCAGTAAGGAGTGCAGATTGGCTTTTTGCCTTGTTTGGATCCTGGTGTTTTGTAACTGAGCATGAGTGGACAAGAGGCGTTGAACTTCCAGCCTCCTGGATGTTCCCGGAGCTGCAGCAGCTCCAGGGAGGTGTCACATCACCCAGTGGCTCTGCAAGTTCTGGTCCCACCTGCTGATAGGAGGTTTGCTGCAAAGAAAGGAGATCCAGTTTCAGGGGATCGTTTCTCACACACAGTAATTTGTTTACTTAATTCTGACCTTTAAAATGGGAAGGAGAATGGAAATACTTATCATTTAATATTAAAGTGCCCTCTTCCCCCCACCCCTTTTGTTTTGTTTTGTTTTTAATTAAAAACAGAACTGTAAAATCGCAGTGGCCAAACTCCCTGCAAAGTAATTGTGTTGTGATTCCTGAAATACTCTCCCTGCAGTTTTGGGCTATTGTTCCCTTCTGTTTTTAAGCCTTGAGCTACTCTTTGGGACAGAACAGAATTGCCATGCGCAGAAGCAGCTGCGTTGAGGGGCTCGCAGGTGATCCTCGTTCATGAAGTTTGTAAGTCACCTCGCAGTAGCTTGTTGTAGAAGAACTGCTTGTTGTTTATAAGCTGTAGTGGAGGTCCTGCATATGAGTTTCCTGGTAGAATTTCCCCAACAGGCTCCTGCTCATCAGGGCAGGTGGGGTGGACCTGAGCCCATCTCCTGGTGAGGGGGCCATGCTTAGGGCTTGCACATGTGGGCTTTTACAGGCTGCTAGTTCTCACTGACTCTGAATTGTTAAACCTTGGGGTAGTATAAAGGAAATCATTTCAAGCTCGGATGGATATGCACATAAAAGATGTGCTCTAGACTCAGTGAATGTAGTAGGAGTTTGCCACGTATGTAGCAAATCCGGACATTTTTTATGCCAATAGCTCCTCTGTTGCATGTGGTTGCATCCCGATTCTGGAGACTTCTTTGTCTCCAGCACTGCAAGAGGTTGTATCTGACTGCATAGGGTTGGGGTTACCCAAACCTTGGCAACGATGAATAGGTACAAAATAGTTCAGGCAACGAGACCTCAGAATAGGGGTGTAATTCCCAGTTCAGGCCCTGGAATCTTGGCTGAGCTGGAGAAGGGGTATGAAGGGTATGAAATGTTGGGTATTGCTGGTAGTTCTTTGAGGAGGGTCAGACAATGCACCAGGGCAATGAATGGATTGAGGTGGGAAAGAAATCATTCCCCCAGGGAACATTCAGGATTGTGCTTTAGAGCATCCAAGATTAAGCCAGAGGTCATTTCCAATGGGAAAACAACCCGCAGTGGGTCAGCAAAGGATGCTGCTGAATTGGAACCGAAACACAGGTGAGTGAAATCAAGGCTAAAATTTGTGAAAAAAAAATGTTTGTGTTTGGATGAAGTGCTTTTTCATTACATTTGCTGTATAAATCCTGAAACTGTTATCTTTACCCATGGATAGGTTTTGCAGAAAGATACATTTTGAGATCTGAATGTACTGATTCATGTCCTTCAGATATCTGATATGTTTGCTCATGAGGGACCCTCTATCAGGGTGGCAGCAGGCAGGAATGGAGAATGAGGGCATTCGTGTGCAAGCAGGATGGTTCATTCAAAATCCTCTGCTTCGTTTTCAGTATGGAGAACTGCTGCTGCTGGCTTCTGGGACCGGCCTCGCACCAATGCTTCCCATCCTCCAGTCCATAACAGAAAATGAAGAGGATGAGACCTTTGTTACTCTTGTTTGCTGCTTCCGTTCGTTTGGAAACATTTACCTGAAACCTCTTCTCCAGGAGCTGGCTCGGTACTGGAACATCAGGATATTTTATGTCCTAAGCCAGGTAAATAAACAGATAGGAAGTACATTGATGCAGGGATTCTGGGTGCTGAATGAAGCTCTGTTGCCTCTGTTTTTATGTCAGCATGATCTTATTTCTTCCCAGCCAACGAGGCAATTCTGAGATCCAGTCACTCCAGTTCTTAAATCTACATGTTTTGACATGGCTATGAATCTGGAGAATTTCATGGAAGTGACCATCATTGCTTGTTCCTTTTCCCTTGCCTTGGTCATGGTCCTCTTGGGAAGGAACCACTGATTGATATTTGCCATCGATCATGATCCTCCCCCACTGCTGCTGCACTTAGACATTTACTCAAAGAAAACTCAACTCACAGCAAACAGAGTGCTCCTTTCTTAATGCCAGTGCCTAAATCTGTCCTTATCTTTCATTCATTGCTCTTGGCTACAGCTCTGCTTCTATGTAGGTTACCACCGACTTTTCAGAAATTATTTTTCCCAGCTGACCCATTTTCAAACTTCTTAAAGTTGTGTCCCCCTCTGTAAAATTGTTTTCTATACCAAATCCATGAGATGAGGGCATACCTCTCAATGGTCTTATACTTTGAGCAGTCTTTTTCCTTTTCATTTGGTCCCAAAGTTGCCTGTGTTCTGCACAGATTTGGTAGTTGAAAATTATTTCCCTCAGAAATGAGTGTTCATTGCAGAGAGGTTATAGAAAGAATTATTTATGCTGAGGGAATGAATCCCATTGCATTTTTAGTTTCTCAGATGAATCTTTTTTTTTTTTTTTGTATCTCTTGTGGTGGATCTGCCTCATACATTTTGTTCCATATATGGCTTTGACAAGTTGAGGATACTGGGTGTGAAGAAAAGTACTTGTGAATTGGGCAACGCCTCAGCTGATCTATAGGAGCATAACCATTAGTTGTCTCTGGTGAAATAGATACCCTGTTCAGGACAGAGCTGGCTCAAGAGCATAAGGAGGTCCTGAACTTCCACCCAGTGGAGAGCAAGAAGCCCATCTCACCCTTTCAGCACCGTCCTCCCCTCACTTCTCTCCCTTTCCATCCCATTTCTTTTCTTAAGAGGTTTGTCGTAGCCCAGCATTGAGTTATGGATCTTCCCTTTTAGGATCACATACCTGTCTGTCCATCTGTCTTGGTGTCTCACTCTGCTGTCTGTCACCATCACATCTCACCACTATCTGCTTCTCATTAACAGTGAAGGGGGAGTCCCCACTGGATCTAGCAGCATGGGATCTAACATTTCTCCTGCCAAAGGATCAGAATGGTGTTTGGAGCAGGGTGGACTTCTTTCAGTTGTTTTATCTGTGGGAGATGAGACTGAAAAAGACTTGGGAATGGAAGAGGCGGGAGAGAGGAATAGACTTGGGACTTAGGACTTGGCATGGAAGAGGCATGGTGGGAAGTTGTTCTCAAAGGAGAAAGTTTTGCAGTGTTTCTTAGCACTAGTTACTCCCTGAGTTTGTTACATCCCCTCTGAGTGAGCAGACAGATCCCTTGGCAGAGAAGGGTTTAATCTGGGTTTTGTAATAGGAACACAGCTCTTGGGATGGGCCAGGTCTACACAGAGACCCTGATCCATGAGGGTGAAAACCTCCTCTGAAGTACTGTGAGGGGAGCTTAGAGAAGGGCCTGTGAGCCATTGGTTGTCCTTTTTACTGTGGCACCCTGCAACCTTCTGCTTTTTCAGGAAAGTTCACTGGAAAAACTTCCTTGGAGCTACCAGGAAAACACGTACACTGGTCGGTTAAATGAAGACTTGATGAGGACAATAATAAATTCCTGTCGAAGAAAGCCATTTGTATTAATATGTGGCTCCTCTGCCTTCAATGAAGATATGAGCAGATATTTGAAATCAGCGGGACTTGAAGAAAATTCGTGTTTTATCTTTTAGCAGGATATCCCTCCCATGAGAAACCCCAGACCAAGCCTTGGATGTCCTTGTTTCCCTGCAGACACTGCTTCGAATGAGCTCTCTCAATAACTAGAATTTTCTGAGCATGTACCTTCATAGACTGATGGATCAAATATTTCTTTCTAGCATTATTTCCACTCTTATGAGTGTTTTAAACATTGGGTGACATTCCAGACTGGCTGCTACAATCACCCATATCTCAGGGAACAGCATAGTAATTTTAACTGAAGTCTTCAGGTGCAATTTCAAGAGAGGGATCTCTTAAGGGTACTAAAAAGCACCCCAATAAACACTTTTGCTCTCATATGAAGGCCAGTGACGTAAGCTGAGTTCTGTGTTAATGTGCAGTGTTATTGTGCACTGTCAGATGTCCATTAGAGACATTCAGTCCGTGGTTTGTGGGTTGCTCGGCGTGAGCAGCGTGTGCGGAGGTGATGGCTCTGATCCACGAGCTGGGAGAAAGCAGGGGTGCCTGGACAAGGCTCCCGGTGTAGCAGGGCTCCGTCTTCGCTCCACCTTGACCGAGTTTGGGACTTCTTCACTCACTGGCACAGTGAGGCTGATACTTTTCCGGCTTATATGTAGTATATGCAGGATATTGCACATATACATACGCAATATGTAATATGGTGAGAAAATACCCAGCTCTGTACCCTGTCATGGTAGCATTTGTCTGTTAGTTTTTCAGGTGAGATGGAGGGTGACTGGATTCCAAGTGCCTGGAATTCATCTACTGCGGATGCAGCTTTTATTGTAACTTCACCAGAGCAAAGACTTACAAGAAGCTCTTTTCCAGGCGCAAAATGCCATTCTGGCTTTTTAACACAGAGGTACCCAGGAACAGTGCCCACAGTGGATCCGAGGCTAAACCTCAGCCCTAATTCAAGTTGTGTTTCAGCCCCCACAGCCTCTGCTCCGTGGAGGAGTTTCACGTAACATGGGGCTGACAGGTAAGGAGCTGCTTTCTCTGGGAGTGCCCCCTGCTTCGGCCCTAGTCAGGGAGATGGAGAAACTATATTCCTGGGAAATTGCACACCCTGGAAATCTTGCGTGGAAGCCTCTTGTTTGACAAAAGAAAATCTGCCTGTCTGAGATGTCACTAAAAATCCCCAGAGAACTTTTGAAAAGGCAAAACTCGCCACTCGCTTTGGGAGAGTAGAGGATTTCCGAGGGGGATGAGGAGGATGGAGCAAGCTGCCCCTAAATACCTCCTTAATTTCATCTCATTATTTCCTGACTAAATAATTTCCCCGTTTCTCCTGGGAACCGTATTTAAACCTTTGATCTTCTCCGACGTCTCGCGGTCCTGATCGCCTCCTTTCTGTTTAAATGAATCCAGTGCCTTTCGGGCTCATGATTTATGGATCTGCCCCCGGGGGGACGGCGGGAAGGGGGAGCCCCCATGCAGCACGTCTCTAATGAACCCGCCTGGCTCTGCTCCGTAATTACTGCTCCTCTCCTTCCTTCCCCGCTCCTCCCCTCTGCCCTCCAGCCAGGTCCGAACCAGAGCGAGTGCCGATCCCCTTCCCGCCGTCTCTGGAAGTTGCCCCTGTGGCTCCTGCCGGGCTGCGGGCAAGGAGGCTCCGTGTAAATATTGTTGTTGTTGTTATTATGCCCCATAAATATATGCAGGCACTTAATGACCTTGGCACGGAGCGCTTCCCGGGGATTAATGACCAGTTGGTGTTAATGGGCCTTAGCGGCACCTCGGGCCACTGGCTCCTCCCAGCCCATCATTAATCCCCAGGAAACGTCTCAGGCATCGATCCTCGTTGCTTAATTAATAAATGCAACTTGTCTCACCGGCTGAGATTTAGAGATACTTGCTGCTTCTTTGAAGGTGACTCTTTTTCCGCCCCAGTCTCTCAGGCAGCATTTCCTTTTTGAGGCCTTTGCGGGTTTTTTCACTTCCCAGTGTTCATCTCGGTGTCGGATATAGCAGCCAAAGGAGTGGTTTTGCTCTTGGGCAGGAGGCAAGGAGCTGGAAAGCTGATGGATTTGGTGCTTTTCCAGCTAACAGCAGCATCTCCTGGTACCATCACCCAGCCTGGAATGACTTCAGCTGATCCCGGCCGCTTTGCGAGCGGGTGAACATCGCGACCCCCTGGGTTCTGCAGAAATTGGTGGCTTTCTGGGTGCTTTTTCCTCTGCTGCCCTCCCGCCCTCAGGCATTTGCAAGGGCTGCAGTCTGTCGGGACAGCCTGGCATCAAGCAAAAGCCCTGGACTGCAAGGCCGTCCCTGCGCCTCCGGCTTTTATCAACAGTTGGCTTTGTGCAGCGAGTGCCGCAGTATAAATCACCTGCGCTCCCGAGCTGCTTTTCCCTGCTCCGCCTGAAATTCCCATTCCAGTTCGCTGTCTCGCCTGGCGAACTAAATTATTTTCATAGCCCCTTAAGGGCATATTGTCAGCCCAGACTTACTGCCATTATACAACATATCTGAAACATTAATATCTCTTCTAAATATAGTGTATTGACAAGGTATCTGGTACAGTGTAAATCCTTGGAACATTTGATCCAGATCATTAAAACTGAGTGAAGGAAGGGAGGAATAGATCAAGTTACCTTGCCGCTCTTAATTCAAACAAGCGATGAATTATTCATCCCGCTATTAATTCTGCAGTCCTTGCGCTTTTTATTTATTCCTGTCTTTAATTTATTTATTTATCTTTCTTTCTCTCTCCAGGATAGGCAGCTCGGGAAGGACGTGGGGGTGCCGGAGGATGGGGTGCCACGGGGCAGGCTGGGTGGCCACGCTGGCCCTCCTGTGCATGGCCTGGTCCACCGCTGGCGGCAGCAGAGGTAAGAGAGGGGCAAAGCGGGGCTCCCTCCTCCTCCTCCTCTTCCTCCTGCTCCTCCTTTCGTGCTCATTTTGCTGGAGGCAGTGGTAGGAGCCGCGCTGCTAAGGCCTGGGGTCACTTTGCTGAGGCGTCTCCTCAATTCTGGAGCTGTGCATGCCCGTAAATGAAATGCAAGCATACGTGCGTACACACATCTATGTGCGTGTGTGTGCATGTATGTATGTATGTGTATACATATGCATGCATATGAGTGTGTGTGGAATAACCCCACCCTGCGGATCACGTGTGCTCCGGGTTGGAGGCTGGTCGGGAACAGGCGTCCCGGTGACTCTGGAGCTCGGAGGAGCCGCTCAATCCGGTGGGTCGGCTGGCCAGGAGCCCCCTCCTCTCCCCACACGCTGCCGGGTTTTGGGGCCTGGGGCCCAGTGGTGCTGATGGGTGATGCTGGTGGGTTATACCGATTCCTGGCCTTCCAGCTGCCTTATGTAGCCCAATGCCTGATGCCCCCATGGGGCAGGTGTCAGCCAGCCCCCAACTCACCACCTTGTTTTGTGTCAATATACGGAGCGCCTTATTTTATACCAACTATGTCTTAGTGTAAAGATTTCCTTGGAAAATCGATCCATGCATGCATAACTCATAGGTAAGTGAGTTGGGCCATTGGTGCCTCTCTCAGAGCTCAGACTCAAGTGGAGAAGGGCCCTTTGGAGCCCTTTGGAATGCTTCTTCTCTGCTCCTGGAGCAGGAGCTGGGCATCCCTGGGGTCCCAACGTGCCTCCCATCCAGGCACTGTTTCCCTGCAGGCATCAAATGTGGCGGGGTGCTCTCAGCGCCCTCCGGCAACTTCTCCAGCCCCAACTTCCCTGGGCTCTACCCCTACGACACCGAGTGCACCTGGCTCATCGTGGTGGCCGAGGGCTCCTCCGTCCTGCTCACCTTCAGCCACTTCGACCTGGAGTACCACGACGCCTGTGGCTACGACTACCTGCAGGTCTACAACGGTGTCACCCGCGACCACAGCAACCTGCTGGGCACCTTCTGCGGCCACCACCCGCCTCCCTCCTTCACCTCCTCCTGGCATGTCCTGGCTGTCATCTTCCACTCGGACAAGCACGTGGCCAGCCATGGCTTTGCTGCCTCTTACCGCAGAGGTAGCCCTGGCAGGAGATGCTGCTTGGGGACATGGGGCACTGTGTCCATGGTGGAATGGGCTACGAGAAGGAATGGGGTGGTCATCACCATCACCAACGTCTCATTCCTTCCCTGGAGTGGGATGAGCACTGAGAAGAAACAGAGTGGCCACCATGGTCACCAACCCCCAGCCACAGGAAGGAACATGATGGTCACCGTGGTCGCCAACCACTCATCCTGCCCCTGGGGTGGGAGGGGCCATGAGAAGGAACAAGATAGCCATGATGGTCACCAACCCTGTTCCTCTCCACAGATGTCTGCGGCGGGGAGCTCACGGCACTCTCCGGAGAGATCACCAGCCCCGACTACCCGGAGAACTACCCCAACAACGCCGAGTGCCGCTGGAGCATCCGGGCGGCGGTGGGCACCAGCGTCCGGCTGGTCTTCGCCGACTTCCAGGTGGAGAACGACGAGGAGTGCAGCTTTGACTACGTGGCCCTCTTCGATGGCGCCACGGCGGCGGCCCCCCGCCTCGGCCCCGCCGTGGGCAGAGCGCA